CACACTCCTCGATATACACGCATGCATTTGATAAGAGTATTGTCAACGGTAGGCCTTCTGTTAAAACACAGTATTGATCAAATTCAAATGTCAAGAAAAGAGAAATTCTCCAAACAGAAACGTGTGTAAATACTGCGTATCAAATAACCATAGTAATAACATTTAGAGGAGGTTGGTGATTAGGATTCCTGTATTGCACTTTCACTGAAATGGAGGGGGCTCAGGGAGGGACTTTCACAGGTTGTGCACAGGCTGTACCTTGGTGTGGCTGAGGTGAGATCATTATTGATTATGGCCACCTCTACTAAAAAGAACTGCACATATACCTGAATGTAATATGCCAAAGAAAGAAAAGAACTCAGCCTCCACCGGGGCTTGCCGAAAACTTGCACATGATGGTGAATATCATACAGTAACCACCAGACCACGAAGGCGCTACTTTGTGGTGAATACAAGAACCACAAGAAGAATACAAGAATGTGTGTGTGTGTGTGATTTTAAGTGATTTAAAGGAAAACCAAGAAACAAGTGGAATAATGCAATGAATAATATGAAACGAAGCAGAAGAGGAATCTGACAAAGAAAAGAAACCAGATATTATTAATGAAATTGACAACAAAAAATTGGCCATTGGCCTTCATCAGGTGTGAAATCCAAGTAAAACAATTTAAACATAAACGTTATAAATGAAAAGTTGAAAATGTCAATATATTCAGCTCAAAGTCCCGGTGAATTGCTCTAGTAATGAAGTGTGTCTATGACGTGAAAACGGCACGGTATTCTGGACGGTTACTTTAAATGAGAATTAAAACTGAAAACACACCAGGCGATCAATAGCAGAAGACAAATATTTCTAGCCAGAAGTAGTGAAGAGGGCATTACAAAGTAAAACGAGCATTACCATTACAGACATTATAACTGTGAATTGTAATTAAGTGTAGTATGTGAATTTTCCAATTAAGTATTTCAACTTAACGGTAATCACACCATTTTTTTTTTCAAATGTAGGTGACTACTCTTACAATTGATCTTGGATGTCAGGGCATCTTATTTGTGCCTCCATTTAGGAAAATTATACTGTTAAACAAACAACGACGATGTGATCCATTGAGGGCGCTAACACATAAAAGTTCAGCAGTAATCAAACGAAAGAATAAACGAATATACCGTTTCTCGTTTATAACATTATATACTATGTAGGTCTTTTTGACATTCTTTCCATACATCAGTAAATAACATTTTGCAATTCTTATTTAAAACGTAGTTGCTAGGTCATATTGATCTTGAAATAGATAGCCTACAATCATAATATAGGCCTACGGATTTCTATATTATCTAAAACCATTTTATATTGAAGTTCAAAGTTTTAATAGCCCTATATAAGTCACAGAATATTTAAATCGTAGGTCCTCCTGATTTTTTCTTAAAATTAACTGGTTGATAGGACTAAGCAGACATTGCAACCGATAATAACATAATGCATAGGCTTAAATGTATTCGGATGATCATGATTCCATATCTTTCAATTTTTAATAAATTAAAACGATCATTAAATTTCAAGCTCTCCATGCATCGAAGCTATATTTATCAAGTAAATATACACCATCAAAGAGGTTACGAGAAATCTAAAGTGCAATCTGCTATAATAAAAATTGTAATAACAGTAGGATTCCATAGTATGTTTATACAGAAATACAACCAAAAGCACTAACAGTATAAAAGATGTATTACGGTACAGAACCATTGTCGATAAGTATGACATCTGTCGTGCAAAATGTGCCATCACTTACTTAGAATGTTCATCACGTATTTACGATAAGTCAAAAAAACGATTCTCAGATGACGCGCACTGAGAATGAAATATTATTAATTAATAATCACACGGCATTTGGGAATAGTTTTTCATAGTGTTGATTACGATATTATTCAAAGAGTGAAGGATACACCACTTTGATAAACATTTAATTGAGTTTCACCTATCATGTGATATTTAATAAATGGTCATTTAATCCCGTTATCTAGAGGTTTCTAACGAATGAGGGCAAAAAATACTCCACACACGTATGGTAGTCTACGCTTGAAAACTACATCATGTGCGTAAAATGAAGTCAATTTATAGTAGATGTAACGAAACTCATATTTATTATTCACATCGTAAAACGTCGATCATTAAAATCTCAATTACCTGTTTTTCCAATTGACAAGCCATTCGATCAATTTAATTTAAATTGAAGAAAATCCTAAACACTTTTATTAAAATTGCATGTGACTACCTACCCTAGTTTATCATTTTGTTTTTGTATTTTTGTAATTTGTAATGCTAGATGTAGCAATCAAAGAACGGACAGCATATTGAAATAAGTAATAGGCCTAACGTTAAAATAAATAATTTAATTAAATAATTTGAACTGGCCTATGTCTGATATTAATAGTCCTAATAATAAGCGATGGTAGGCCTATTATATCAATTCGAGATTCAAGATTTATTTATTGTTATTGTTATTATTCATTCGTTTTATTTTTTATTTCCTTGACTTATTCTTTGCTAAGCGCCTCGAGATGGCATCAAAGTGAGGGCTATACAAGGTCATAATGACGATGGGGATAATCAACTTTGGCCACAACTGCACAAGAACACAGGCGAGATGAACTGAGAGATTCGAACCTCGACGTACCGGTAGGTTGCCGGAGTCAAACCACACAACCGTTGCGCCAGTCGCCCATGTATTTATTTTGCTGTAAGCTTTTTATTTTCTGTTTGTATCCCATGGAAGTCACTCCATCATTTATTATGTAATCTTTTTATACCTATTTCCAAGGCCAATTAATTAACGTGCATATTGGACGCAGGTTCATAACTGCATAATTTATCAATTATTTCAATTTAATCTTTACTAACAGTTTCAATCTAATCAAGAATGTTATTACAAACGTTCGCGCCAAAAAATCGTCCGCATTTTGACCATGACTATAATAGTTTGCTATATCATTTAATCAACAAGGTCGATTTACTTCATATCTATTAGCGTACAGAGAAAATTTGATAAGAATCCCTTAGAAAATAGAAATAAGGATATCATTTGTATACGGCATAACAAAATCTAGGGTCCTGAAAAATGTATTTCTAGAAATTTTTATTTTTTATTTTATTTTATTTATTTTTGTTTTTGCAAAGTTTCAGGTGGTCAGGAAAGGTGCCAGAGATAATAGAGAAAGGTTCCTATAACAGGAATCAATAGAGGCAATGATAGACAAGAAACGTAGTGGGAAAAGGGTAAATAGTGCAAGATTTGTGTGCCGTTGACTTGTCGATATAGCGAGCAATATCAGCATCAGTCAGTGTTTGAATGTCATTTGAAACAAACAGAGAGTTCAACCAGTGGCGTATTTAGGGGGTGTATGGGGGTGCGCAAGACTCCCCCAACAATTACTTGCGCCCCCCCCCCCCCCCCCCCCAAATACGTTAAAACTTTTCAACAAAGAAATTGTTTAAATCAGTGGCGGTCCGGTGATTGGAGGGAGAAAATGGAAAGATTCAATGACACGTTTGACAAGGAGCTTATCAAATAATTTAAAAAGTCTTTTCTGGTCGTTACCACAGCCGTCAATTTGTGCCCGTAGGTAAGTTGATCGAGCATCAGCAAGCACTTTGTGGTATTTGTCAATTTCACCCTTGTATTTCATGATGTATGTTGGCGATGTTATCTAAATACGTTCAGCTGACCGTATCTTTTTCTTTGCAGAAATAGACCTTTTTATTGTAATGTGTTCCGTTTTGCGACATTACACTATCCACTCTTTTATTCCATGGATGAAATGTTATTGATATGCTATGCTATCAAGCTGAGCGTTAATGTTTTTTTGGCCTTCCTATTCGTCTTTTTCGTTTTCTTAATTGATTGTTTAAATTTAATTGGTGTTTCTCCGGTCTTGTCAATAGCATTTCAGATTGTTCGTTTAATGTGTCTACTTTTATAATCTATCCTTCTAATAACAATAACAAATATTTATGCGCCAATTCCAATTTTATCAAAGACGCTAAGTAATAAGGCAAGTTAACATTCCTGTAATAGGCCTAAATAGGTTTTAAGATTTTTCTTGAAAGAAAGCAAACTAGACGAATCGCAAAGTGAAAGTGGCAAGGAATTCCATGTAAATGGGGCTTGAAAAAAAAAGTCACCCGGCCTTTAACATAAGTTTTTGTTTTGTCTTTACGAAACGAAACTTTCCATAGATTTTATGATGAGAACGAATATGGTGAAGAGGAATACAGTGGGTATAAGGAACCCAATGGATAGAAGAAAAGTTAATAGGGGTTGTACCAGGATGGTCCTCCTTCCCTTGAATTTACCTCGAAACATCGGACGTTCAGAACTAGCAGATTATTTTGTCCATCCGCAGTCATCAACACAAACTCCTCAGAAACATACAGGCGGAACTTAATGTGGTGACAGACCAAAAGTTTGCAATACTTGATTTTAATATTTATCGTTGGAGCAGCTTTAACGGCACTAAGCATAGAATTCCAATCATTAACCACCCTAACTGCGGCCCTCTTTCTAACATTGAAGTATGACTTGATTTAGCTATTTTGAACTCATGGTCCCCATTTTTCCGTAATTCAGATCTAGTGAAAAAGTCCTAGTGAAAGCCATATAGACAAGTTAAATGCCTTCAATCTCTCTTTATATGGCTTACTTATAGAGACACCAAAATCGAAGATCCTGCACCGACCGAACTGGATTATTTTCGTCGTTTGCAGAGCATTCGATTTGGAGAAATTGTATGAGGCTATGTTTCTATAATAGGTTTCTGTGTAAGTCTATATCATACAGTACAGTGTCCTTCCTGACTTGAGGGCGCAATTTATGGTCTATTATCTGTCTATTTGTATTATTCTTTACGCGAACAATAATGGGTGGCAACACGTCACTTAGAAATCAGATTGATTAAACATGTAGTTTTGCATAACAATACAAATACGTGTAGATAATAACTGAATCTACGGTTGAGTGTGTTTCTACACAAAACGTCAATTTGGGCATGGGAAATGGTTTATCCACCAACCTGTATCTCTGTCTATATTTATGTTATACGATAGTCATTCACGAGCAAGCTATAACCGTCCAAGATTTTGGTTTATCATTCTCATCATAATATAATAGAGAATTATATCAACACAGTGTTCAGTGAGTACTTGTACCAACCACGATGAATCGATATCCTGGAATATTTTTAATGATGGTGGTGATACCAATGGTCTTCGGAGTACCGTTGTTGAATCGTGTAAAACGACAGAATCCAGAAGGTAGGAATAGAAATGCCCTATTCTCGTTATGGTAAATGTATAATGTAAACATTGTTAGTAGGATTTGTAGGATTTTTGGTAAAGAAAGGGTGAGGTGATTTTAGGCTATTATGCTGGAGTTGAGTGTGTGAATGGCTCTCATATTAGTAGTATTTCATCATCAGATAGGATTGCCATCATACCTGTGTCGATGTGTCAGGTTCGGTTGGGTAAGGCGACTTCCAAAGTACACCAAAAGTACCGGTATGAGTCAGTGTAGGCCTATCAACAGCGTATCCTGTTGTACTATTTTGCTTTTACATTTCTTCATTTTATTTATTTTTTAAATTTTCTTGCTGTAAATTAATAATTTTCATGCTGTAATTTATTGATTATATATTATTATACTTTTATATATTTTATTGTTTTTCTGCAATTGTTTATGTTATTTTACTTCAATAAATTTCTAAGTATTTTACTTAATTTATTTTTGCAATATATCAAACACAATTCAGTGTTTATCTTGAGTCTTCTTTCCCACAACCCCATTGGTAATTTGCATTGAAAAATTCAAATGGAATATCGCCTTTCCCCAGATAATTCACCTCACTGTTTGTTTGTTTCTCCCATGTATAGTTTCTCTTTTATGCATCATGTCCTATAATTTTAGGCCTATTGTACTTTATATTTTAGTTTATTTATTAGTATAGCCAATAAATTTATGCGTCTCCTTTCCCGAGGGTTGGAACCCCCTTCCTCCATTGATGGGCAAAACTCTACACTCTCTGTAATGAACTTTTCAGTTTAAGCACCGTTCCTTGGATATTGTTACTAAGGTTTCACAAAACGACAGTGGTAAAGTGCGCAAACATATTTTTTTTAGATAACACGTTTGTTTGTGAGACAAGTGCGTAACGTACCTATAGACTTGTACTTGGTCAGCTGTAAGTTTTGACCTCCCGGAGTAGTAC